AACTGTCAACATTTTTTTTTCTTTCTGAAATAATGATAAATAAGTCTTAGAAGTATTCTAATTGTGATAGAAATAAGAAATAAGATAGATTGTATTATTTATTAGTGATAATAATTTCGACTAGATTTCAATTCTTTAATTTCCAATCTCACAAAAAATAATTTCTTTCCTTTAAAATAAAATACTAAAATTAGCTTATTATAAAATAGCACGAAATAAGTATTTTTCAAACTCATGTAAAAACACTTCGAACAATGTAAAAAACACTTCGAACATTAGTTATTTTCTTATATTCAAATTTATTATTCAGTTTTCGATATCACGGGCATGAGTTCTGTGAAAAGGAATAAATAATCTTGAGAAAAAAGGTAACTTGTTCCTTCTCAATAGACTATTTATTGATGAATTTATAAACGAAATATCAAAAAGAATTTTTTTAATATTAAGAAAACTATGAGGAATGTGTCTTTTACACGTTAAAAGAGAATTTTATGAGAAGTACAAAAAGTCAAAATCGATTTTATCATAAATCTTAATATCTTTTAATGACTATCTGGACATTTATTCAATTCCATGTTCAATTCTATTTATTTAATTCCATGCAGGGCATTTATTTAATTCCATACTAATTTCATTCCATTCCACAAAAAAAGTTGTATTCAGTAGAGACATTTCTTCACAAAATTTTCACAGTTTTCAAGAAATTTGCATTTTGTCTTCCCAGTTGATTTTCCTCCTCACGGAATTCTCTTTTTTGCTTATTTCATTAATTAAAACATACACTGTAAAAATAACTGTTGAAAGTACTTGCATCCTGAGTTTCAGCAACTGTAAATTTTATATCTTAATTTTTACAGTAATATTTACTCAAGTACAGTGCTTCAGTCATTTCGCTGCAAATATTACTGTATATATTAGGGTAAATCAGATTTTTTGTTCTGTTAAACCATACGATAAAAATGGATTTCACTGTAAAAGATATCAGCACTCAGAAAGCTAGTATTTTTTTGTATAATTTGATCTCAAATTCCTTACAGTGTGGAAATAAAACATTGGTTGTCAATATCTCGAAATGTAAAGATGACGAAACTAATCTTGTCTTTATTTAAATCTTAATTGTAGTAAATATGTAGTTTAAAATTTAAAAATCTGGTAATTTTTGTTTTGGTTTTTACTAAACGTATATTTTTAGAAAAATAGCTTCTCAAAAATAACAAATCATCTCTACTTGTTATTTTTTAGTATATTTTCACATTGGTTGAAATAACTACCTCAGAATTTTTAACTTTTGAAAATCATTTAAATGCATTAGAAGCTTTGAAAAATACAAAAACAGCTTTACTTTTATTGGAAAAAGTTGGACTTGTTCATTCTATTGGTATCCTTTCTACTTTGTAAAATTTATGGGAAATAGTGAAATAGATTTGTATAAAAATTGATCTGATAAATATTTGTTTTTGTAAGGATTAAAAATTTATCATAAACAGTTTCTTAGTTTAGTCTCTGAAAGACATTTGTAATTTTCGAAGAGTTTTACTTTCTTTTATGTACTTATGTTGAATCGAAAAATAAAATCTTTCTTTTGAAACTCCATTTCCACTTTCGTTTCTACAGAGAGAAAAAATAAACATAAATGGTTTTAAAACATCTAAGCAAACGTGATTTGAAAATGGTTTACCAGATTATGTAAATTGACCAGCATTGTTCGCGACTCTCATTGTTTGCTATAAATTTGCTTTTCTTGTAAATTCGCTTTTATTCATGCAAATATATCGATACAATGTTATCAATAGCTTGTAACAATCTTAGTGATCACCTCACAAACGTTTTAACTAACTACTTGTTTGATATTTTTATTTATTTTTACGGAATGCTTTTATCCTCTGAAACAAATAAAAAAGGCTTTCCTAAAAAATAACACTTTAAAAAATAAAATTTTAATTATGTTTATGTGCTTCAAAATATAATTTATAATATACTCGGGAAATAATATGACATTAAGAATGTTAATTATCTAAAGAATTCTAAAAGAATGGTTAATACTTGTAATACGAGACACTTAAGGCAAAAAACAGTTATGAATAATGGATTTAATTTAATAATTTATAATTTTTAGAAACAGAATATTTTAGTGACATTCTGGTTATAAGTAGCTTTTCTTATTATCCCAAAGGCAAAAAAGCTTTCCCAAAAAGTAAAAAAAAAAATATTTTATATTTTTTGTTATGTTTAAAAAGGTTGAAAAATTAAAATTTTTTTGAATTATTCATTTTTTTTCAATATTTATTTAATATTGTATAAATTAAAATTCAATAATTTCAAAATATTTCATATGATAACCAATAAGTGTTTTAGTATTATTGTTGTATTACACTATACAGTAGATCATCTTTCAGTCAAAGGATCATAATTTAGAATATACAAATGGATTATTATACATGAAGTATCATTTCAATTCCATTCCTAACATGATTATATTATGCAAGGAACAAAAGTTTTAAACCTTCTCTTGCATATATTAATTTGTTTTATTAAATCACTTTTGTTATACAGAGAAAAAGATTTTTCTAAAATTATCGCACTGTATGATGAAGACATTTCTGGCTAAAAGAAAAACAGAATTATATATATATATATATATATATATATTTTGTATCTGTCTTACCATAATTTATATAAAAATATTTTAGTTTTTGCATTCCAAGTATGATTTTTAATGCGCTCTGATTATATGTAGTAATTTGTAGAAATAAAAACATTTTATTGAATAAAATAAAAGTATTGTCAGAATA